GAGAGAGAGAGAGAGAGAGAGAGAGAGAGAGAGAGAGAGAGAGAGAGAGAAGAGGTTATCAATGTGCTTTTTGAAACTAAAGTGTCTTCAAATAACTCGAGAATTTATTAATTCTGGAACAGGTGTTCCGAGAACATTTTCTTCTCTTGAACCCTAATTGCTAGATGATGATCTTCTCTCACTAATGCGAGGGCACTCCAGCTGGTTGTTCCGATCTCACAGCGAGTTCCTGGGCCTGACTGATCTTTGCACTTCCTAATATGCACAGCATTTTTGTTCGTTGCCTGACAGAACTGATGAATGTAGAGCAACCCCGTGTTGAATACAAACATATACATTTAGGAAGCAGCACTCTGGCTTCCAGAGCCAACACTGTTGTTTCATTTGCTTATTTAATAATAGTAAATGGCACTGCAGTCTCAGAGGAGCAGGGGGATGGCAAGGAGTGAAAGACACATGCCAATCAGTGGCCGGGACACAGAAGTTAGGAAACAGCACAGCTGGACTGTGCACAAATGGTGTGTGGCATTATTTCCTGCTAATATTGTCCCAATGTTGCCCTTACATTAAATTGCATTCAACATCTAATATGTGGTGATAAATAAATGGAAACAACGTGACTTGAAGGGAAAGCATTGCCACTTAGATTGACTTTTTTTCTTAAAAGAAGAGACATGATACTATGTTACAAGAACTTGGTAAAGTAAACAGTAAAGACTGACCCTCTGTTCAAATACCACCATCAACTCCAAATGCCCCTTCATATTCCCTGTCTCTTTGCTAAGTGGTCCCCTCCTGAAAAGAAAAAAATGGAGCTCCAGTGCCTTAAGCCTTTGTTCTAGGAGGGGCGGCTTACTTTTCTCCATTCTGAAAACCCTTCCTAGGGAGAGCCTTCGGCTGCTTTTCCCTGAGGCAGTGCCCCATGGCTCCCATGCCATGAGGGCTCAGGGCAATCCTGGGCCCACTTTAACATCTTTAAAAACACTGAAGATGACTAAAGACAAGGCAGATTTCTTCCTCTGCTGGGTTTCTTCTATTAACTTTCTCTAGCAGCTCCATAGACTCTGGCAGCAAAGATCAGTTCTCAACTTCCTGATGCTGGCACTTGGAGCAGCGCTGTCCCTGAGATGGCAGGGCCGTACTTCAAAGGGAACAGAGCTTTAAGACACAAGACCACTTTCTATTCTGCCTAAATGCCTGTTGCAATCTGTTAATCAGTGTGTGCATCTATGTGTGTGTTTTAATGACATTCTCACAACTTTCATTTTCATCAGAAAAGCAAGGAGTTTCCTCCACAATCTTTGACACACTGCAGAGAAGGCACTCTGATATTCTCTTACATGTTCAGCTCTACATGAAGTGCCTGCCATACCAAAGCAGCCCAACAATCCTCTAAAAAATGAGAAAATGGATAAATGAATGAAAAATCAGACAGAATCTGCCTGGTTGCATTAGTTCCAATTCAAAAGTTACAGTGCAGGGAATAAAAGTAAAGAGAAAGTAGAAAGAATGATGTTCTTCTTGGGCACGGAGAGGAATGATACAGATGAAAGGGTCTTTAGGGTCTAATGCAGGGTGGTGTGGTAAGCTGGATCTTGTTTTGCGATAGGGTGCCTGTGTAAAATAATATGGAAATGTGAACGTGGGCTGAGTGTAAGACAATACAAAACAACTGTATTAATGGTGATGAGCATGACAATCATGCAAATACTCCCTAAGGAAACACCCTCCCTTCAGAGTACATACAATGGAATTTGGGATAGAAATGGGGTGTTGAGTGTCTTTGCCTGGTTTTCTGCAGTGAGGTGCTTGGTAGGCACTCCATCACTGAACTTCTCCTCCAGCCCCAAGATTTATTTGTAAGTGTCTTTCAGAAAGAAATAAAGATGCCAAATGGGGTTGGGGGGTGATGGCTCAGTAGTTAAGAGCACTGGCTGTTCTTCCAGCGGACTAGGGTTCAATTCCCAGCACCTACATGGCAGCTCATGACTACCTTTAATTCCAATTCTGGGGGATCCTACACCCTCACACATGCAGAAAAAAAATCAATGCACATAAAAAATAAAATAAACAAATCATTTTTAATGCCAAAGGCAGAAAATGACATCAATGTGATTTCTCTGAAGAACTTTTTAAGATTGCAACCTTCTAATATGCTAGGATGAAAAAAAAAAATTGAAATAGTCTCTCCCGAACAAGAAGATGACAGGCTGGTCACATCCCAGTCCCTGCTCCAGCAATCCTTGAAAATCATGGTCATCATTCAGGGTCCAGGTGCAGCACAGTCTTGGGTAGAAAGCAGTGGCGTGTATCACATGCTTTGACATCCTTAGACACAGGGCATTGGAGGGAGCCACCTAGGGTGGTTAGTGTTGAATCTCTTCAGCTCAAAAGCCCTAGACATGGAAGCGACAGGGTGATGAGAACCAAGAACTCCGCTCTCCATCCCTTCCTGTGAGTCCAGGCTGGGTCCAGTGTAACTTCATCTCAAACTAAGAGAAATTCATGTTAACGTTTCTTACAGTGCAGATCTTCAGACAAACGATCTTAATTTGGTTTATTTGCATTTGTTTCCACTTTGTCTTTGTCTTTGAAGAATAGCTTGGCCAATTCTTGTCTGCAAGCTTTTTTTTCATTTTCCTTCATCACTTCGTTATGATCCAAAGTCTTCTGAGTTCTACAGTCCACAGTGAGAAGTCTCCAATTATCTTATCGTTAGTTTTCCTCATCTGCCTTCCACATTTCCCTACAGTTAGATAGTTCCAATGTTTACTCTATCAGCATTTTGACTGATACATCCAGAAGTAATATTCACTGTTTAGACTTCTTAGCTTTAGTGAATTTTTGAAACTGTAAATTGCTATTCTTCATTAAACTGTAGAGTACTGGACCATTATTTCCTTCAACATTTTTTTCTGACTTCTTTCTTCCTCTAGAATTCTATCTACAAATACATTAAACTGTTTAACATTGTCCTAGAAATTGTTCATTTTCAATTTTTAAATGTTTTCTTTTATAATTTCATATGTATAAGCAACATTCTTTCATAACCCCCCCATTATTCTCACCAAAATCCCTTCTACCTTCTAAGTCACCTTGATAGTTTTGTGTGTGTGTGTGTGTGTGTGTGTGTGTGTGTGTGTCTGTCTGTCTGTCTGTCTGTCTGTCTGTCTGTCTGTTACAACACTCCACCAGGATGTGAGCAGTTTAAGTTGAGAATTTGTATATTACTTCTGAGGGTTTTATGCAGACAAATTTTCTTTAAAAATTCTAGCAACTTCTCTTTAAAAATTCTAGCAACTTCATCTTCCCCAAACTCTGATATTGGCATATCCAGCAGCAGCATTGTTCATTTATGGCACTGTTTTCTGTAGTCATATCTGAAAGCATTGAACATCATGACCCTTGAACCATAATCTGAAAACTCACAATTCAAAACCATTTCAAATGAAAGTTTTCAAAACTCCCTCTTACAGATTTGTTTGTTTTAATCTGTTAACATCTGAGTTCTCTGGCATTAATTAAATTTGTTTTGCTGATCTGCCATTTACTACACATCCAATAATATCAAAATACATTTAATTAATAATATGAAATAACTAGCTTATCTACACACAATATTCAAAAGAGAATATTAAAATTCTAATAGGCTAACTTGTTCAATGTTGCTCAAATTAACTTTTAGTTTTTATTTTGTTTTGTCTTGTTTTTGAGACAGTCTCATGCTATAACTGTCTTACTTTGGGTTTATATTGCTGTGAAGAGATACCATGACATTTAATTGAGGCTGACTTATAGTTCAGAGGTTTAGTCCATTATTGTCATGACAAGAAGCATGGCAGCATGCAGGCAGACATGGTGCTGGAGAAGGAGCTAAGAGTTCTACATCTGGATCCACAGGCAGCAGAAAGGAGACTGTGTACCACACTGGGCATAGCTTGAGCATATGAGACCTTAAAGACCACCCCCAGAGTGACACACCTCCTCCAACAAGGCCATACCTCCCAATAGTACCACTACCTATGGGCCAAGCATTCAAACATTTAAGTCTATGAAGGCCATACCTATTTCAAACCACCACAATAACCCAGGCTAGTCTTGAACTCATGTCAATTCTCCCACCTCATCCACTAAGTTCCTGTGTCACTACACACAGCTCAATGTCACTGAATTTAATATGTTCAATTTAAATTAACATGTCTCTGACACTGGCATTATTTAGCAATACATTCTTGGAACTCAAACAACAGTGATCAGTATGCTGCTGGAGAACTTAGAAAAAAGCCATTGATTCTAATTAATGGAATTAGTCCTTACAAGTAGCCTATGAAATGGGCACCACTGTCAATCAATTCAGTAAATAAGAAAACCCTACAGTTCAGCTTGTCTGTGAAAGTAATTGCTAAAGCCAAGATTCAAATGTATTTTCATTTGGATTCTTAAATTCCACTGTTAATCATGAATCATTCTATGAGTAAAGATAAAATCAAAAGAAAGATTATTGTCAAGTAACAGAAGACTATTTTTAGAAAAAATAAATTGTAGTCCTCTTTGAAAAGCCAATTATAGGCAATAAAGCCACATGGAACTGGCTTTTGGAGACTGTAGTAACCTATGCAAATCAAGACAAGGAAATGCCAACTGTCCTAAGGCTATTGCTAAATCTAGATTTCCTAGAATAGATTATTCAGGAGAGTCAGAAACTACGCCAAGGTGAGTTTATTTCTCCAGGTAACTATTTTCCTAATTCACGCATAGCAACAGTTTCTGTTTGTGCAGTTCTCAAAATGAGGGAACACCTTTTCCTTCATTTTTAAACCTGTGAGAAGTCTCTGATCTGGGAAACAACTTGTATATTAAACAAATGGCTTTATTTCCATAAAGAAATGACTGAGGAAACTAATGTAACTCACCAAACAATGCATTGGAAATGTGCTGATTAAGCTTCTGGGTCCAATAGGCTCTAAGAAAAAGATCAAAGCAATTGATTTTCTGAAAGAAAATTATCAATTATTATTATTCCTTTGATACAAGAAAAAACAGTCAAATAAATAAGAGTGTTAGGTCCAAATGAAGTAGCACCATTTTTTGCCAGTAACTTCAACATTGTGTGGCATGGCAATGAAGAGGCAATACAGACATCACATAGACCATTTCTACCTTAGTCCTGCCACATAGCATCCTTTATTCTTGTGAGAATAACCACTTTAAAATAATACATAAAAACATGCTTTCAATGTATAAGCAAAATTGTAGCACTTTCTGTAGCTGAAATAAAATCTACATAAAAGGAATTTCCCAATTACAACATTCATAGAAGAAACATAAAAATAGTCCCTCAAGGTAATTACCTCTCCTGTCTTGGAATCTGTTACGGCTTGGAAAGTCCTCTGCTCAACTCCAGAAGGCCAAACACATCAATGTTGCTAGAATAAATAAACTGTATCAACCTCCAGGAATAGCTACATTTTAATATCCAACTGTTCAAGTGGAAAGTCCTTCTAGACTCAACGAAATAAATCACATCAGGTAATGAGGACGCTGAGACAAAACAATGAGTGAACTACCTGTTCTGAGCCTAGGGTATTTCTCAGAACCTGCTCAATGATATTATGTAAGTGACCCTCTAGGACAACAGTTTCCTCAGCTGGCCACTAAAGTGCCTCCTGCTGAAGTCCGATTATCCCTTGTCACAACTGTTGTGCAGAAAGGCTTGACAGCTCAAACCATTTCTAACATGAGATAAAAAGAGTGGTCATGAGGGAACAGAGAGGCAGGTGACGATGAAATTAAATACTGAACAGAATAAATGATGAGATGATGGTGTCCCAATGATGCAGTTGCCTCTGATGCTCAATTAAGGTACTATGTCACCAACACATTATCAAGTGCTCAACTTTTTCTTAGTGATGCTATAAGTGAACATATTTAACTGACTTAAGTCAGTGAAGAAATCCATCCTACATTACAGAAATATAGTTAATGGGTGTTAATATTAACACTTAATATTTAATGGGTATTAATAATTCTGTTCAACAAATGTACTCTAAATAATAAATACTATTTCCACTGCACTGCTGTGTGTATTTTCATTATTCTTCTTTTATAAACCTCATCTCACTTTAGTAGCACCAATGTAGCTGAAGTTTTCCTGTGTTCCAGCCTGTTGGCCGTTGGGACAAATCTCTCCCACTCATGTCCCCCAAGTAAACACACAGAGGCTTATATTAATTATAACTGCATGGCCATGGATAAAGCCTTTTGCTAGCTAGCTCTTATATCTTAAATTAGCCCTTAACTATTAATCTATGTATCATCACATGTTCTATGGCTTTACCTGTGTCCTATTACATGTTGCTCCTTGGGCGGCTCTCTGGCTTCTCCGCCCACCTTCTCCTGTTTCTCTTTGAATTTCCCACCTGCCTCTAAGCTGCCTTGCCATAGGCCAAATGGCTTTACTTATCAACCAATCAGAGCAGCACATATTCGCAAGCTACAGAAAGACATTCCCCCATCACACCAACTACTTCAACTGAAAGAAAGCTGGAAACTCAGAGGCCAACACTGACATAAAATCTATTTATAAAATTCATGTAAAAGAATAACAGCAAATGCATAGAACAGTTCACAAGCACCAGGTGAGATGTAAGAGCAGTTCCTCTCATGAGCTAACTTGGGCTGGGCCATTTGAATTCCAGCAGCTTTTTATGTAGAGTCACCTAACTTAACACTGTGCATGGGATTCATGGAGATGAATCATCATCCCTCTAACTATCCCTAGTAACCACAGCAAAAGAATAGGATTTCCTTCACATCGGTAAAATAGAGATGGCTAGGGATACAAGCCAGAGATAACGTTCTGAGAATAGCTACTTCCGGTGAATATTGAGGAGACCTCCTTTGGCCTCACAGAGCACATGATTTCCTTCACTACTGGAGGTTTTTGAGTCTAACTCATAGCAAGCCAGATAACAATTCAGTCATACCCAACAAGATGTCAGGCAAGTCACTCTTCTGTAATTTTCAGCAATTAAGCATTCAGCCTAGAAGGCATCCAATACAGCTCTCTGACATCTGAGAATAGTCTGTAACCTATACGAGCTGATGGCACAACTACGAATAATGCACATATTATTTGCCCTAAGAGTCAGAAAGTATTTCAACACAAAGTGTTATATGAGTCTTTAAGAACTTTAGTGTTTTAATTCTGGGATTGAATTTAGGCATATCACCCATGCATGAATCATCCCCTTGTCTTATCTTTAAAAGCTGATTTTCACATGCACCCAACAACCTAAGACATGTTTTTAATTTGGAAATGTATTTTGGCAAGAGTTCTTCTCACCCACTCAATTCATAACCATTTCACTTCTAGGCGATTTAGTTTCAAAATCAGACCTGTCTACTGCCTCCATGGTGAGAGTTGATTCTGCCAGACAATGCAGTGTGCTTTTGTTTTTCTCACTGTTTTGTTGATAATCGCCCTGGACACATGAAGCCACAGTGCTCCCTGAGAAGTGAGATAAGACTAATCATGTGTGGTGAAATGCTGACGTGCTATTACAGAATATTCAACACTACTACAGATTACTCTTTAACTTTCAGATGTTGCGTCAGCACTGATACATAGTATTGATGAATCAGATGATGTAACAACCGTAACAATGAATTTTTTTTTGTTGTTTAAAAGGGGCTTTAAAGATATTATTATATCAGCATACTATGAAGGTTTTTTAGCATCAGAAGTTTAAAAAAAATCACTGTACATGAAGACATTCTCATCATTCTAAATGTTTTGTAGACGTGTGCTTCTGTAGTCTTAGGTTTTATTTGTCCATTTATTTTTCCCACCAGTAATTATCAGTCATGATAAGGTAAATGAATAGAAATTTTGCCTAAGCTTCATCTTATAGAATCAAAATCTACCTTATGATGGCATCAATACAATGTCCTACAGGAAAGATTACTATAATGTATGGACTTTGTAAAGTTATTATTTATAGGATACTTATAGATTGATATCTCATATCATACATGGTGTCTTAATGAGTAATTGCTTATTTGAGAGAGAAATTTGTTTCCAAAATGAAGAAATAAGATAAAAGTCCATGATAAATTAATACCTGTTTTTTCATTCTTCAGCAAACACACACACACACACACACACACACACACACACACATTGAGATCCACACAAATGCAAACCACCTCTCTAGAAGCCTGTGCAGGACAGAGGCGGAGTCACGTGGGTTGAAGAATATCAATTGCAACTTTCAAAATTCCAAACTAAGGACTGGAGGGATGGCTCTGTAGTTAAAAGAATTTGTTGCTATTACAGAAGACCTGAATTTGATTCCCATCCACCACATAATGGCTCACAACTGTTAGTAACACCAGTTCCAGGGTAGCCAATGCTCTCTTCTGACCTCTGCAGACACCAGACACACATATCATATACATACATATGTGAAGACAAAACACTATGCACATAAGTAAATCTAAGGAAACTTTTTTTAACTTTATAAAATTGCAACTAAAATAGATGAAAGGAAAATTAAAAATGCTGCCCCCAAAAAAATCATCCAAAATATATGAACTAATGGATCGAATAGATGGGCTTCAAAGAAAAAACCATAAATTATCAATAAATATTTGAAAAAGTGTTCAATGTTCTTAGACATCAGAGAAACATAAACCAAAGCTGCTTTGAGATCCCTTGAAGGATGGTTATCTTTAAGATAGTAAATGTCAATAATTCTGATGAGAATGTGGGGAAAGGGGAATCTTTAGTCACATGTGGTAGGAATACAAAGTTTTGCAGCCACTACCAAAGTCAAAAAAAAGGTTATTCATAACTGAAAATATAACTACCAACTATGTCATTCCTTTATATATATATGTATGTATGTCTTAGGAATAGCATAAGAGAGAGAGAGAGATCTCCAAAGGACTCTAAGTCAACATACTCCTGAAATACTTGCACATTCACATTTATTGCTGCACTATTCACAATGGCCTTGAAATGGAACCAGCCTAGACGTCTATCCATAGGTGAGCACATAAAGAAAATGTGGTACACACATACAATGGAGTTTTATTCAACTACAAGGAATAATGTGTGACATTATAACATTACCATAAAGTTCATGGAACTGAAAACAGTGAATAAAATTGAAAGTAATCAAGTTAATCAAAATAAGTCAGACTCAGAAAAATTAATATATCAATCAAAACACCATATATCTTAATTCATATTTCATATGTATAGTGTATATGTATGTATATAGCATGAAAGTAGAAAGGGGAGCAATAGAAGGGAAGAAGAGGTCTAAAGGGAGCGGGGAATGAGAGGAGATAATGATATATATGCATGTACACACATGTGCACACACACACACACACACACAAATGAAACAGAAGACAGAACTATTTGATAGGAGGAAAAGAATCAGCAAGAGGGCAGACAGGGAGTGGGACAGGCAAGTACAGTGGGATGAATAAGACCAAAGTATATATGGATGAAAATGTTACCATGAACCTCACAATAACAATAAAATAATAATAGTCTTAAAGTGGATGAAGGATTTAAGGGAGAGATCTCAGCTTATGAAGTGCTTGCTTCCCACACAGGCATGAGGACCTAATTTCAAATCCCAAAGCCCATGTGAAGGAGCTGGGAGTAACAGAGCAGATTTGTAATCCCAGTAGTAGGAAGGTTGAAAAAGATGGCTCCCTAGGGTTCCCTAGCCAGCCAGCCCAGCCCAATTAGCAGGCTCTGGGCCAATGAGAATCCTGTCTCAAAAATGATACTTGAGGTTGACATTCTGACCGTCATATGCATGTGCATGGGTACCTGCACATATACACACGGGGTGGGGGTGATAGGTAGTGGTATAATATGATATTCTTTAGTAGATAAGAAAACACATTTGAGAGGCAAGCAGATCTCTGAGTTTGAGGCCAGCGTGGTCTGCAGAGCACATTCCAGGAGAGCCCAGGCTACACAGAGAAGCCCTGACTCATAAAACCAAAGGAAAAAGAAATCACATTTGAATCCATCTGTCTTCCATTTTTACCTTGAGTCCTTCATTCTCATTTCTTGAGAAGCTTCCTCATCTACAAAATGAGGGAAATACTAGACTTCTTAGGAGATTCAATTACTGTATAAGAGAAACTGCATTCTAAGCACAATGCTTAGACTTAGCAAGTACCAAGGATGTGTCTATTGGCAGTAGACCCCCACTGAGTAATGCAAACAAGTTGATGACCATTAGAAATGAGTTAGAGGTACTATAGAAAAGAGCAGTCACAGGCAACCAGGCATGAGGCAGAACTTCAGTGAGACTTGAATGATGGTTGACATAGGAATGTGCAGAGATGAATGGTGTAGTTGTACAGGCTGTTTGGATGGAGTAGCTGAAGGATACATACATCATGTATGTTCTACCAACCTAACTTATGGTGATATTTTATTTGTGCTGAAATGTGACTTTATTTGTATGTTAATAAATAAAGTTGCCTGGAGAGCAGAAGTCATAGTCATTAAGCAGAAGTCTGGCAGTGGTAGCACATGCCCTTAATCCAATCATATGGCAGGCAGAGTCTCTGTGTGTTCAAGGACACAGCCAGTCATGGTGACAGCATGCCTTTAATCCCAGTACCAACCCATAGAGACCTGGAGGTCTGTGTAGACAGGCAGTGACGAGGAAGTCATGTGGTTGGGCTTAGAGCCAATGAAAAGGCAGAACAGAAAGGCAATAAAAAGACAGGACACAGGAAGAAGGTCTCTCTCTTAGGGGAAGGACAGCAGCCACTGGTAAGCTAAAGGCTATTGGCTAGTGCTCTGATCTCTTGGGCTTTTAACTCGGTATTTGGCTCTGTGTTTCTTATTTAATAAAACCGTTTAGAATTTCATCTACACTAACTAGAGCAGCTGGTGTGGCTTTCAGTCTGCCATGATGTGAAGCTATAACAAGAGCAGAGGACGAAGCAAGGCACCTGAGCAAAAACCTACAAAATCCGCACTAGCCCAATAACAGGGAGTAAAGAGGGTGATGATTGTGCATATTATTTTAAAGTTCACACAAATTTTTGGGATCTAACTAAAAATAAAAACCCAAGGTAGTGTAATGAGAGTAACTGATCATCTTAGGAGCATGTTTATATTTGTCAGGGCTCAGCCACATCACACTCCATTTCAGAGAGATGTACAGAACTCTGACTTCCAATACAAAATGTAATAGTTGATCTATTTTTACCTAGCATACTAAGTGTGTTTGGCCAACTGGGATCTGTAAATGCAGGAACATGGTGCAACAGTAAACAGAAATTACTTAATGAGGCAATTGTGTGTCTAGTCTTGAAAAGAAATAGTTTACAGTATTACATCACTCTGGTTATAGACCAATCATTCATCAAATCTCATTAATGAGAAGAGCATGTCAAGAAATGATTATTAATACTTAATACCATGACTTGTAGGACATACCGAAGATTCTTATATATTTAATGTTTTCTGAGATCCAACTTTTAAGATTTTTAATAATTGATAGCTTTAAATAATTAATGATTAATTTCACATCTGACTCTTTTCTATATGCTTCGGGTTTTCCAATATTTTTATCTATGAATAGCTACAAAACATTAAAGAATGGCACTTCTGTGCAACTACAGACTTCAAAAGACACGGATAAGTAGTTTTACCTTAGCAGAAATTCCCTTTTATCCTAAAATAAACTTTAATGATAAACATAGAGAAATTTCTCACACATCGTCTTGCTCCTGCATTTGTTATTTTTCTCCTTCAGGATAAAGGCTATGGTTCTCAGGACAGACAGAACTCAGGACCACACCTTCCAGTCAGTACAATGAGGGATGGCACCGGGGAGGCTCACACCTTGAGCCCAAAGCCCTCTTGAGCTATCTAGTGGCAATCACAACAAAGAAAAGAAACAGCAATTGCTACAAAACATGCATAAATATAGAGGTAAGAAAGCATTCATCATCTTTTACCGATGAAAATACAGTCTCTTACAGCTCGAAACTATAACACATATGCTTTGAGCTGAGCACAAAGGAAACTATAAATGAAATATATGATGTTATTAACACATATCCCCAACTCAGCTGCCACTTCCCAACAGAACAAGGCTGCCTTTTACAACACTTTTGAGTCAACAACTACAACTGGGCTGGTAGGGAAGTGGGTGGATTGGGGAGGAGTTGGAGGAGGTGAGTGAATATGATCAAAACACATTGTATATAATTCAAAATAAAAATAATTAATATATGACGTTTATATGTATATATGTATATATAGTCAGTATTCTCGAGTCCTGATCCACAGCGCTTTGTGCTCAGAACCCACTTCCTGCCTTTCACTCACTAGCTCTCAAGTTCCTGCTAATAACTTAACTCAGTCAGATAAACTCAGTAATAGTCACAAGATTGAAATATATAATGAAAATATAACCTATCCCTGGGAAAGCATGATCAATGGAGAATCTGAGTTTCAGTAGACACATTTTTGAAACAAGTACCCTAACTATTGATAAAGAAAAATAATTGTTGCCTTAAAAACCATAGAGTACTTGAGGACACGTAGGCTCTGGAAGAATTCTTTCCAATCAAGTATTTCAGAGTATCCCTTCCATTCTAGTCTACCTACAGGGTCAACTCTACTTAGAGATGATAATAAATATTCTTGCTGTTTTATTATATTTGCTTGTTTACTTATTTGAGAGAGAGGGAGGGAGAGAGAGAGAGAGAGAGAGAGAGAGAGAGAGAGAGAGAGATATGCCACATCTATTCCTACCTTTAATCATGGACTGCATCAAGGGCAGCAGCAATTGTTCCACTCTGGACTGCTCTATAAACAGCCTAGGGCCAAGGACAGACTTCAGTTTCTGTCCAGTCAGGCCCCATAGCCTTGACCCAGCACTGAGGAGCAATGAACAGCACTGCATGAGGTACTGGGAGATGAGGCTGCAGCCTCAGCACAGAGCTCAGACACAGTGACCTTCCACAGCCAACTGTGGACAACAGAGGGGAGTGGGAACACCAAGCCCCTCTTCATGCCTGCAAACTGACTTCGTCTTCATCCTGCTGCACAGAGTCTCAGTAAGTGCTCGGTGCACCCCTTATATCAGGGAGCGGTGCCACAAGACAAAGGTCCAGTACCCCTGAGTAGTGAACAAAAAGCAATCTCTTCACTGGCCCAGGAGCGTACCATCCAACCCAGTAACGGGAATTAACAAAAGAGGGCTCCCAGTGTGTCTGCCACCTGGTAAGAGTCATTTCAACACCCTTACTTTGTGACAGTTGAGACCATTATACATTGCTGCTGAGTTAAAGTCCCTCTTGAATGCAGTGGCTGGATTTTTATAATCCTCTAGTGTTTACTGAGCAAATAAAAGAAAACTTAAAGGGACTGGGATAGACGGGACTTGAGGAACAGTTTAGCTGCCAATTTTATCCTTGCTGTGCATTAGGACCTTTAATGAAACTGACATCATCTAAGATAGCTGAGTAGTAAAACAGAGGAAGGGCCAGTGATCACAGTGAAGAACTCCATATCCTCTTGAAGCATTACCTGAAACAGATGCCTCTTTTAGGCTCACTCTGAAACCTTCAACATCACTCCCAGAGCACGTTAAGTGGGGCAATGTTTATATAGTATGTACATTTAGTGTTTAATTAGATATAGTATAGCTTGTATGCTGGCTTTAGGTCAAATGCACGGTTACACTAAAAGCCTGCTTAAATGGAGGTTTTCTTTTCTTTCACCTTTCAAGAATAAAGCCTCATCACAAGCACTTGTGATTAGGGAGGGATTGGCTACTTCAAAACAAAAGCCATCTCAAAGTAAGGGAGAGAAGTCAAAAAACACTGAGAAGTCTGTGTCTTTGAAGACAACAGGATGACATTTTCCCCCAAATAAAGGATCATTTAAACATAATATATAAATATATCATATATTAATATATCTATTAATATATCATATATATATATGAGAGAGAGAAATATGCAGAACTTTTCTTTCTGAGTCTTATTTCACTGAACATAATTATTTAAAGTAGTATTCATTTTTCTGAAAATGTTATGATTTTATTTTTCTTTACAGATAAATAAAATTCCATGGTATATGCTCCACACTTGTGGTGTTCACTCACCTGTTGATAAACATCTAGGCTGGATCCATGTCTTAGTTGTAGACAATGCAACTGAATACATGTAGAATGATACAAGGCAGAGATTTACTGGGGAACTCACTAAGCTGCTTTTGAAGTAAAAGCTTTTATTCTTTTCTTTTTCATCAAAAAAAGAAGATTTTTCTGTCAAAAAGTTTTTGGTTTTTCTGTCAAAAAAATTTTTATTTTATATGAAGGAACATAATTTTGTGAGAAGCAGTTTGGGGTGATGAGTGATTATGCAGCTGTACTTTCATATTGGCACACTGAGACCAGAGTGGACTGAACTTTAAGCCATAGAGAGAACTGAACAGTACTGATTCAGGTACTCACGCTGAGAAGGTGTGTGGATCAACCCCTGGGGGAAGTCGGATTCTCTTCCAGTTAGAAGGTTCTGCCACCAGTGAAATGTTAAGATTTTGGAGAATTTAAGATCTTTCCACAGAAAATAAAAACACAATTTCAAAGATGACTCACGGTTGAGTATCAACTATCTTTGAGTTTCTGTAGGTATGTTTCTTGAACTTTAGAAGTTGATTGAATTAACAGTGCCGACTCATCTTTCAAATGAAGAGGAAAAGTGCACTCTTAAATTCCTAGAAATTCAATTTTGAAATGAGTGTTTCAATCTTAGAATATCCTTATACATCCAGAACTTGAACAAACTGTAGGCGGAAGTCTACAGACCTTTCCTACTCTCTTTCATGAAGTTCTTGACATTAGAGTAAAGCTACAGGTGGTGGTTAACTCAATGGGAGAGACTGTACTTGATACAGCTAGGTCACAGGCTCTTTCCTGGTACAAAAAAAAAAGTGAATGCTAATATGAACAGGCCAGGCACTACCTAGCCCAGTACTCCAGGCAGCCCAGCGATAATAGTGTCTCCTTGATTACTCGTTTTCCTAATTCTTACCTAAATCTCTTTCAAACTTTTTAGCAACTCTTCCCCAAACTGTGTAACGACTTCATCTCAGGTCTATTAAGACCAACACTGAATGGCAACCCCAGCCCTTACCCACCACCTCACTCTCAAACCCGTATCCTTGTTGACAGCAGCTACAACTGACTAGACCCAAGCCCAGTATCATTCTTGATGCCTTCTTTTCTTTTAAACTCAACACTCAACCTATTGTTGCTTTTTTTTTGACAGCTGAAGACCTTGGCTCAGTGAAGCAAAATGACATACCCCTAACTCTCAGCTGGTCAGGGACTGCCAAACCCCAAACCCCAGATCCTCCTCTCTCCAGGACTGCAGCATGTGCCAGACCCTGAACACCTCACTTTCATCCAGTGTGGACACTGTTTTGAAAATGAGCCATCTAGACAACTGTCTATCACTCTAAAGGTGATGGGACCTGGGAGAATGGAGCTGACAAAGGAGGTGAGCTAAAGCCTCACGCAACAACCAACTTATTCAGAGCATCCGACAACTTATACTCTGAGAGTTAAGGGAGTCACTTGAGTAAAGTGGACAATCACAAAGGCAAGCCTCAGACAAGCCGCCCATGTTTTTCCATAAAGGCATATAAACAAATAACAATAACCAGTTGTAATGAATAATCTGAAATAAACTTATTCCTATCTGCTACACCTGGAAGGGGTATGAAAGCATAGTCTAAGAGCAATTCTATGTTTTGTTTTGTTTTTTTAAGAGACTGAGGTTACAAGACTCTTGTCTTTTTTTCTCATACGCACTCAGAATTCTCTTCACACAGCTCCGTTCTTGGACTTTGTTCCAATAGTCAATCGTAAACATGGGAAAGAAATATTTATGGTACATTTATATATTACAAAGATTCTTATTATTTGAGTCATTGAGTTGTAACTTGAAACACATATATTGTCTACTATATGTTACATTTTCACAGCTAGCAAAAGATTCTGTTTTTAATATGGGATGCTATTTATCTCAGGCTGGTCACAAATTTGCTGTGTTGCCAAGAATGACCTTGGACATCTTAACCTCCTGCCTCCATGCACCTAAAGCTAGAACTGTCACCATACAACTAATTTATGCAGTGCTGGGGATCAAAACCAAGGTTTTGTGCTTGGCAAGCATTCAACCAACGGATCTATACATCTCCAGCCCCAGTAAAAAGACATTTGTTCTACAATGTTGTAAGCAAATTAGCATTGGTCAGTTTATCAAAGATTTAGTTAAGGGCTGCTTTTCCTCTGTCTTTAGAAAAAATTAGCAGGCACCAAATTATCCCTACCACACTGTATACACTCCAGATGCAGATTTTCCAGTGCTCTTACCCGAAGTGAGTGCCACGGACATCTTACAGACTCTGTTTCTCTAACCCATTTGGCAACTGCCAGCAAATACATGAGGTTTCAAGCAGATGCTTGTGACCCCATTCCATTCTCCCTGCTTCTGAGTCGCAAATGTCAAGATTACCAGATTGTCTCAAAGATGCTATCTGCATAAACTGTTTTGATTCTTTGCCCCAAATGTTTTTGTTGCACATACTCTATGTGATGTCAAAACTCATCGTTTTAAGGGAAAACAGCTTGGGGGGGGGGACCACTAAGTTCACTGAGTATAAACACTGTTTATAAGCATTATAGTAGGTCAGTTCCTTTAGCAGAGGCTATTTCCAGAGCATTTAGTGGCCTATCTGATGTTTTTTGTAGCATTTTATTTTTAAATCCTAGTGTTTTCTCTTGTGATCCTTTAGGCCTTCCTAAGATGGTTGTCTATGTGTTTTATAAAACACAGTGAAATTCTGGGAGAATATAGCTTACAAACTGTCATTTTCAAAACCCAGAATTTTCTTTTCTTTTTGAGACAAAGTCTCAACTAGTTATTTCTGTTTGGCCTAGAACTCTCTATGTAGATCAGGCTGGACTTAAACTCACAAAGATCCACCTGCTTCTTCCTCCTCGGTGCTGGGGATAAAGGTGTGAGCCACCATACCCATTCTCAAGAATTATTCTGATACAATATGTGGCAAAACCTAAAAGGATTTTGCTATAGTTTTAAATGTTTGCTATTGCATTGAAGTCATGGTAAGCTAGCTGCTCTCCTTTACCTTCCTGTAGATGAGTCAAATTCAATAATAGCTACTGTTACAAGAAAGCCAGAACATGAATACACTCTTTTATTCAGTTCTATCTGTATTTGCATTGAATAATATCAATCATGATCATCATTCTTTCTTGGTTCTTAAGGATAATCTTAAATGCAGAGTAAATATTTAACACAGACTTTAAGTAAGAAGATCAATTAGTCCAAATATATTAGTATTTATCAAGCACAGCACACAGGTATTCAGAACTCTAAAAATATCTGTGACCATCAGTTTACATAAATAAACAACTATCTTTACCCCTACACAGGACCATATTCAAGATTCTAGTGTTAGATTCTATCTTACATCTCATAGCTTCTCCAGTGGGCCTCTGGGACTCATGAAGGTCTGGACTAGAAGCATATCCATCGTTCATTTGTTACTTCTCCACCCCCCTCCAGGATTGCTGTCCTCACTGAAACCTGGAACCAGTCAGAGAACTTCCTCTAAACCAGTGTTTTCAACCTCCCTAAAGCTGAGATCCTTTAATACAGTTCCTCGTGTTGTGGTGACCCCCAAACCATAAAATTATTTTCATTGCTATTTCATATCTGTAATTTTGCTGCTGTTATAAATTGTAATGTAAATATTTTTTGGAGGCAGAGGTTTAGTGTAGGGGTCCCGACCCTCGGGTTGAGAACCACTGCTCTAAATCTTTCTTCAAAACTGCTGTAACTTCGGAGAGGTCACCAACTGCCTTTTACTGTCCTTCAGCACTCAACAATCCAATCAGAAACCAGGAACTACCCCCACACTTCCACCTGGCAATTTCATCCACTTTCCTTAGGTCAATGTCTGAGACAGTCTGTAAGAACCTCTCTGTAACACATATGTATACTTCAGCTCATTATACATTGAAATACTTTTGGAAGACTTTTAAAACAAGGCATAATAAATATTATGTCTGAAGATAATTTTAAAAATGGGAGAATGTTTTCCTTAATTTAAGTGGTTGAATGAGTATGGGAATTCCTAAAGAAAAGTAATCTAGAAATGAGAGAACTAGTGTAAAAAGCCTTAATTAACATCATAGAGTAATGGATACTGAGAACTAAATAAAAAGTCATCCCCATCTCTGCATCCCTTACTATGTGGAAAATACACTCTCTTAGAGATAGGTCAGTTCAAACTCGCACAGAGTTGATCCCAACCAGTTCTTACTGTGATGTCTAACATAATTAGAATATTTCTTATCACTGGAGTACTCTCAGTACAGGGTTCAAGAGTTTCACTCAGTGATTTACACTCAGTAAAAGGGCTAAATTCTCACAGGCAAGGGCAAGGGTTGGCTACAGGCAATGTATATATGGCTGACTCAGCCATTGTAACATTGTATGCATGCTTTGGGCTTAATCGCTAGGACAAAATTATAAACAAAGAGCTGTAACATTCGCGGAAACAGAGCTGCTGACTTGGAACAAACGTAACTGAGACTAAGTCCAGACATGGGAATTGTTTTTGTCCTCAGACTCTAAGAAGCAAATATCTGATCAGAGTCATCGTGACGGCTATGGTGAATACTCACATGGTGGACAGCCCCTGATCTGTTTCCACAAGTAGCACCTCTGTATCAGTAACAGCACATCCTGCAAGGAGAGCAACCCTTAGGTTAGTGTTTCTCAACCTGTGGGTCGCAACCCCTTGGGGGGGTCAAACATCCCTTTCACTGGGGTCACATGTAAGATATCCTGCATATCAGAATTTACATTATGATACATGAAAGTAGCAAAATTACAGTTATGAAGTAGCGACAAAAATAACTGTAGTTGGGGGTGACCACAATATAAGAAATTATATTAAAAGGTCACATCATTAGAAAAGTTGAGAACCACTGATTTAGGCCAACTGCAGCAATATCACTTCTGTCAGGGGGCCAGTGTCAGGGTCCAGCCCCAACCTATCGAAGGGTCCCTTAAAGTGGGGGATGAGGAAATGAGAAATGATAGATAGAAATGTAGGTGTAGAAAAAGACAGAGACACAGGATAGCTTCTGGAGGGCCCTAGGTCAATACCCAGCAGCCTCAAGTTTATTTCTAATGGGCTTTTTATATACTAGCAAGGGGAGAGGCAAAAGATCTCCCCCTTTCGAGATCAAAGCACAACATACAACCAATTGTAGACCCTGCAAAATACCTGGTAACCACATCCCATGGTAAAGCATCTTATGATCAGGCCTTGAAGTATAAGACACCTGGTAACCATGCCTTTGCACCCTATTATGCAACATAAACTCTGACTCTCTGCCCTGGAAAGAAGCCACAAGCTGGAATCTTTGTGAGCTCCCCCACATTTCTATGCTCAAACATTATTGAAAACCCAATGAAGCCAGACATAATGGCACATGTCTACAATCCCAGCACTTGGGAGGCTGAGAGGATGGGATCACAAGTTCAATGCCAACCTGGACTCTGCACCAAAATCTGTCTCATAAATACACCAGGGAGAGAGACAGAGATAGATGAGACAGAGAGAGCAGGAGTTGCCAGTAAGACCACCATGCTTCCATGATAGCAGTGTGAATCTCCAATTCCAAATGGAAGAGGTCATAATTCTCTTTCATTGTAAACACAACACCTCCAAAATAACGTCTTCCCATAATTGAATCATTATTTATGTTTATAATAGTAAGTAAAAATCTCCCAAATGAATAAAGTCAAATGGAAAGAAATGTATTATCTTTTTTTCCCTTTTTGCACCTGGTATCACAATCATGTTAATTTTTAGGTTTGTATGAAAATCAAATCATAAATCAACTCCCTAATGAGAAAAAAAAGCCTGAAAGGAAAGAGCCATGATTTTCTTCATGGAGTAAATGGGCAGACAGGAAGACTTCTAAGGCAGTATTCTCCTTGAAAACCCATGTGCTGGGCACAAAATTTAGTAACATGCAATTCCATACAGTAGCTTCTTAGCAGGCTCATTCATCTAAGGAAGGCCCTTCCCTTATCACAGGACAGGGACACTTCCTATTCTTCACTTTGGCTGTCATATCAGCTTGTCCCTTATCAGCTATAGGAAATGTCATAATGCTTCCTGAGCTAACTAATACAACCACGGTAGCTAGCCAGGGAGTGATCTGGGACAGCACAGAGGCTGTTGTACCAGGCATGTGTTTATTCAGGAGCATGAGTATAATTTCCCAGTACAAAGGACCTCCCTCTAACTGGAACGATGTAATAGTTCAGGTCCATGTAATATAAACGAACACAGATTGCTTCCAGAACAAAGGGTTTCAGTAATCACTGCTTTCTCCACACAGTGTTGGGTTCTGGTATCCATGGTGACCTTGAAGATCACAAGTGGAAAATTATAACACCAGAAAATGAAAGTGTGGCCTAGATGGCTGAGGCTGGAAAGAGAATTGTCCCGAAAACACCTGCTAAAAGCACGTGTGTATGCCAGTGCACCAGCATGTGAAGACCAGAGGTTCAAAGAAAAACA